GTATTAAGAAAGAAAAAGAATCTGAAATCCTGTACGCTCCACACGTCCACTACAGCATATCAAACATGAACTTGAAGGAAAAAATCTGTCAAGCATATGAAGTTCAGACATCACCTTTCCAAATAACCGAGGTTGAAAATGATATGCTTCTTCACCAGGTACATTGATGGTGACACTGAGCTGAATAAAAACCAAGGATAAAAATAAAATAAAAAATTAACATGTAAGTAGCCAAAATCACTGTAAGGACCTTGAAATTGATAACAGGATGACAAAACTAATGGATTTTGTATACATACTATTTGTTCACCAAAGTCAATCACGATCTTGTCAGCTGGTATACCCTTTGCAAATATTGTTAAAACCACTTCATCAGACTTTTGATAAAATTCATGCCTGCAAGACAAAACAAAACTAAGAACTGCAAACATTCCTAAAAAAAGGTTAAGTTTATTGTTAAAACTTGTGAAAGGATTTAAGGAGACGAAAAAAATCATTTACTGACATTTAACAACACTCAAAGCACGTCAAGAATTAATGGATCATCCCATGATGGGGCAATTTTATATTACTAATGGAAAACTTGTGATTCTGGATTGAGGTCTCCGAATTGACTATTGAAAAGGAAGGAATGGCTTGGGCAGAAAATTTGTATAAAGAAGTGAGAGAGCAGGAGATCTTCAACCTGGGCAGGGGAGGGATTTGGGTTGCTTTTCTTTAGAATTTTTAGCTTGAAAGACCAACTTGACAAGTTTCATGTACTGCCAGAAGTTAGTTTCCACAATAGATAATTATTGTTGGTATTTCTTTTTCATTTTTTCCTTGCCCTAGTATTTGAGACTTGAGAGGTTAGACTGGCAGTCTTTTCAGAAATAACCTATCAGCCCTTTGTAAGCAATTTCCAGCAATAAGCAAAACTTATCCCTAAAATAAAATGGGATAAAATAATATGGGATTGAAATTTCTATATAATTATTGACTATATATTTCCATTTAGTTTTTTATTTTTCCCTAAACTACATGATTGGCACTCAACTCCACATTCTCTTTTAACCAGACAGGACTTAAAGCTCATAATGACTGAACATATGTGTGGACAGCTAAAGACAATTTGTAAATAATAAGAAAAATCAACAGGAGAAAAATAACGAAAAAGAAAGCAGCACCCAAAAAATAATGCTAAATGTGCAATTAGTGAACCCATGATTACACTATGTGGGCAAGAATTCTAACCTGTATTTAGGTTTGGTCGATGACACCGTTGTTTTTTGATTGGACAAGGTAATGGCTGGCAGCACATCATTAGGAGTCACTACACTCGTCGTGACTTTATCCGGCAATTCTTTAGGCAGCTCTCCAGCTTCCTCTGAAATAAGCAGTTAAATTTGGGATTTAATAGACATGAACATAGTGCTCCATTCAATTACCTACCAGTAATTGAGGCATTTGCAGTGGAGCATTCATATTTCAAATTATACGTGAAGTATTAATGCAAGTGAACACATAATTGCGAAAGTTCAGCAAGAACTGAAAACTATCAATACTTATAGTAGTTCAAATGTATTGCCTTGTTTCTAATAGGAACAAATGGAAAAGAAACATTAAGCCCCTGTTTGGTACAGATTCTTTAGAATTCAATTTCTCCCTAACTCATTTTCGACCACTGATTCTCCCAATAAAATAATTTTGTATGTACACCCATAACTTTTCACTACTTTTAATCACACATTCTCCAAAAAACTTATTTTTTCACAAAAACTAGCAATAAAAAATCTACATAAAACATGCCCTAATGTTTTAGGGTAGGATATTCAAATCAGATATCAGCATGCTTCTTGTTGTGTGTATTCATTCAATGAAAACATATAGAGAAAGAAACTTCATCTCTTGAAAATTGGCCATTTCTAGGATGAGGTGAATGGGAAGGTGGATTGACAGGGAATTTAGATCGAAACTTATAAGCTCGGATTCATCTATGGTTTTTTTTTTTTTTTTGGAGGNGCCATTAAAATTACCTGCTATGAGCTCATCACATTCTTTAATCAGGTCAATAAACCTGGAATCAGTTCGTGCTAAAGAGGTGCCACTTTCCAAGGCTGTCTTAGCAGTCTGGTATTCTTCAAGCTCGATACATGCCTTGCTATAAGCAAAGAATAAAAATAATTTAATAATTTATATTTGGCAGCAAAACTATGAAAAGAAAGCACACATATTCACTCTGTCATGTTTATTTTCCATAAAAATAATGATAGTCAATAGAGCCCACAAGCAATTACATCTAATCTTTAAAAAAATAATAAAAATAAAAAAGATAAGAGAATAAACAGAATAATGATTGCCATAAATGATTCAGTTGAAATAGTAATATATTGTAACAATAAACTTTAGACTAACTCGTGATCCCAGCATTAGCTCAAAGCCTTTATTTCGAGGCTTAAATTCATTTTTAGAAGAGAATACAAATATGGTGTAAAAGGAAAAAAGATAAGTTACAGCTTCGGCATGCAGAAATGGATCTAGATCTGTGCGCTAAAATTTTTATGAATTCAAACAACAAGAAAAAAAAAATACAATGCAAATCCTGATGAGAAAAATGAACCTCGATATCTAATTGACCCAATCATTATGACCTGCAGGGGAAAAAAAGGAACAAGAAAAGCAGTTCATGGAATTGAAAAATCTGATTGAACATGGTAACATAGCATCATCTATTTAATAAAGTCTCAAATTCAAGGTGAAAAAGCCTCCCGCCCAACACGAGACAAGTGTTTGCAATGCAAATCAACACCCAAAGTACAATTTCAGACCGCTAATTACTAATGAAATATCATCAGAATCAATCAAAATAACTCACGCTTTACGCAGATACGCTTTGGCCATTGTAGGGTCCAACTCAATTGCCTTATTCGCATCAGAAACAGCTTCTGCTCGTCAAAATTTTAAAGAAAATAATTACCAACCTCAAAATCAGTTTATAAGATCATATAACTGGTATACAGAGCAAAACAAAAAAATTAAGACAAGCTAAAGTATACTCATGATGATTGATGAACTCCACAAACTCTTCAACAAAGTCATAATTCATAGACACAATAACACTACTCCATTCACCATATAGTTTTATAATATCCCTAACGAACACCGCCCCCACCCCCGAAATAGCTATTTCAGGAAAACATAAAGGTTTTCTATAAATGGCAAAACATCAATTACCCTTCCCATTGAAAAAAATCTCAAGCAATACCAACTTACAGAGGGGATACATTATTAAATTTAAATTGTCTTCAACAAGCCCGTCAAGTGCAAGACACATCACAATTTTCATAAATATAGGAGTCGACCAGCATACAAACAATTTCCTAAAATCAGCAGCCACACACAAACACTTAAAAACAGTAAAATTTTCACATTTACCGGTGAAGTTGCAGAGTTTGAAGTTGGCTTGAGAGCGGTCGGCAAAGAGCTCGGCGTCGTTAGGATTTAACGAGATGGCCTGAGAATAGAGGTCAATGGCCAGTTCGAAGTGGTCGTCGATGAAAGCTTCCTTCGCCTTCCTCTGCAGATCCGACGTCGCCATTGATTGAATGTTTGATTGATTGACTCAGTTACGCGTCAACGGGTTTTAGCATCCGGGCACTCTCTAGATTCTGACAATCGGCTGGAGAAAGAGGCAGAAATTTTATACAAGTTAACGTTTCATAGCGAAGCCAGGAAATTACAACGATGTTACCATGCTACA